CACCTCAAATCTTCACATCTCCTTCGTGCTTATCAAGTTCGTCCTCTCCTCCGGTGATGAAATCGGCTCCCAATCGATGGTGGTAACTCCGCAGCGGCGCCAATCAACAACCCGTCTCAATTCCACTTCTCACAACCAGTGTTCAAGGAACCTTATGAAACTCCAATCATCTCCGATCAATTGACAGATGGTAAGTTCTCTAGTTTCTTCTCTTCATGTCGTTTTATTGTCAATTATATTTCTACTTTGTTATAGAAATTAGGTCTCTGAAACTCCCATAAATTCTCCGTGTTCTCCGTAGATTCTCTTCATCGTCTCTTTGTCTGTGCAAATTCACTTTCTATTCTATTTGGCTTGGATGCGTTTCCATTTGATTGTGTTTTCTCTTCCATTAGAATAGTATAGTTTATGGTTTACTCATTGTGTTTCGTACATTATAACTGTGTTTTCTTCGATATATGAATGACACAGTATATTAATTTAATTTACTGTGTGGAATAACCTTGCATTATGGTCAATTTCATTTGTTGTATTGAAGCAGATGCAATACAACTTGTCAGCGTGAGATCTTTTATGCATATTTTATTTGAAATAGAATAGAAAATATTATATGTTCAAACTATTCTATTTGAGATAGAATCGATTGATAAACTATTCTATTTGAGATAAAGTTGCATGATATGTATTGAATACACTACCGTTCGTCATCATTGTATTGTTTGAATTATAAAAAGTTCGTTTCTATATAAAATACAATGGATTACTCTGTTATAACCATGTTTTCCTTTTACTTTGTTTTTCAAGTTTACCAAAGAAGAATTATGCCTTCAAGTAGATTGTTTGAGACATATTTATAACCATGTTTCCCTCTTACTTTGTTCTTCAGTTTTGCATGGACTCAATTGTGGTGAAATAGTTGACTTTTACCGACATGAAAAGACTAAGGTCTTGCGCGAGGGAAGAGAACCGGAAGAGGGTTCAATCTTGTTTTTGTTGTTTCATGTTTTATTGACATAAGTTTTGTATCAGTACATATATATGTGTTTTATATTAGTGTGTATATGATTTTGTAAAGAGAAACAATATATTGGACGTAAAAAGAATAGCATTTATTATGACATCAAAGGAAACATAATAAAATGTGATGTTGAATGGAATGATATTCCTATGATGTTGTCTATCTATTTTGTTTTGTTCTATTTAGGTTTATGGTCTATATTTGGGTTTAGTGTCTATATTTGGGTTTATGGTTTAGTGGTTAGGATTTAGGGTTTAGTATTAGGAAGGGGGGTTGAGGTTTGGGTTTAGTGACCCTATCATGGATTGTAATGACGCTCACAAATTTATGATAATTCCATACCATTGCGTACTATGTTATTTGACTATGTGCCATTCCATTTGATGTAGCGTTTATCTGAGGTGTTTGGTTTACATTTGGGTTGATGGTTTATATTTTGGTTTAGTGTTAACTTATTTGCGATTATGGTTTAATATTTAGTGGTTGTATTATTCCATACAGTTGACATTTTGGTTAATATACGTGATAGAGAACACCGAATGTATTATATATACACTGTTTGTTTGATTGGATACATATTCCATTCCATTTGGATGGTTCACTATTCTGAATGGAATGGAACGTCTGTATTTTGTTCCATTCTGGATGGTATTGAACTTCCGTATTATCCATTCACGGTTGTTCGATTCCACATGGATTGTTCTGCAATATTATATGTCCACCCTGCTTCACTTTACCATCATGTTTACTTTGATTACATCATTGTATATCTACTTTATACTAACTATATTCCCCTCGTTTTTTGATGTTAGGTCTGACATGGACGATTTGGGCCTTCCAAGTAGATTGTTCGCCACAGAGTTTGAACCCAGTGGAATAGATCGACCGATATAGCAGGAGACATGTACCATACTGGATAATATACTCATTTGTATGGAATACAGTAGTTAAAGAATGGAATGGAAATTAATTTTTCTTTAGGGGTTAATCGCCAATGTATTAGGATTTATATTTTCTTAATTTTTGTTTAGTGATTAGCGTCCATACCCTTTTAAATGACAATTTATAGGGTTTATACAAAAGTAGGAGATTAAGGTGAGAAAATGAAAAAGATTATCATAAGAAATGGGTTAACCGGCAATGGATTGGGGTTTAATTTAGGATTTATATTTTCACGTAAGGTTTATTGATCTGTGTCTATGGTTTAGTTTATGGAAGATTGGGGTTGACATTGGATTAGGGTATCTATTTCTGTGTAGTCTTTATTATTTAGAGTATGAATGAGACTGTTGTCATAATATATTTTGATGAAATAGAATAGAATGATTGAAGTTGGTAAATGGAATATAAGATGTATTGGAAAGAATTCTATTTTAAGCCACACTTTTATTCCACACAGTAATTATGTATGCGATAAATAATAAAGCGACGTGGTTCTCTTCTCTTTCATAAGTTACCATTAATTCACTTTTATTTTGGACCACATAAATTACACTCAACGTAATCTATTTCTTCTATTTCACTGGCAACTTGTTATAATAGAGGATAGAACCGGATCATATGTGTGTTAAATGTCATTGATTTAATTATGTCAAAATCATAGTCAGTTACCTAATTATACTTCCAATCTTAGCTATCTCGCAAATTAGCCCAACCCCCATTGTATTTGTTGTTTTTTTGTACGCAGCTCTTTAACCGGTGGTAGTCTCTCTTCTGTTGACATATTCATCACAATCCATGTTCGAGAATGCGCTAGGCGCTAGTCGGACGGCTCGATTGGGCCTAGCGCATAAAGAGAAAATTGGGGATTAAGCGAGAGTTATACAGAGCAGAATTTTTAGACTATTTGATATGTTATAAGATATATTAATATTTAATTGTGTATAACATTGATACATTTTTATGTTTAAATTCTTCTAAACACACACAAATAAATATACAAAGTTAATATGATATAATTTAATCAAAATTATTATTTATTAAATTTTAAAACAAATAAATAGATAAAAAATATTATTAAAAAAAACAAAAAAAAAACAGATTAGGCGGCCACCTAGGCGATCATCTAGGCAGATTAAAATCAGACGACCGATTTTCTACAGTGATTTGACATAAATCGGGGCGGAAGAGGGTCGCCTAGCGTCTAGTCAGCTAGGCGGCTGATTTTTATAACAGAGATCACAATATATTACTTGTCAGTCCTCGATTCTGCAAAAATTAAAATGAGTCTTTGTTAACTTGAGTTTTCTATCAAGTCTTCAAAAAAATAAGTTTTCTATTATTTGGTGTTCAACAAAAACAAGAAAGTTTTCTATTATTTCTGTCAAACAAGAAAAGTTTTCTAGTATTATTTATCAGTAGAAGCTAAAAGGGAAAATTCCTTAAAAATACACCAACTGAGTTTCTTTTGCTAAAAAAATACACCAACTTTTTAGACTTCCCGAAAAATACACAAAGTAATTTTGGTTGTCCACAAAATACATGAACTTTTGAATTTTGAAGGTTTCACACCTTGATTTTAACGGCGTTAACTCTGATTAACAGAACATATAGACGCCGTTAGATGCCGTTAGACGACGTTAACTCTGATTCAAAATTTCATGTATTTTGTGGACAACCAAAATTAGTCTGTGTATTTTTCGAGAAACCAAAAAAGTTCGTGTATTTTTTTAGCATATAAAATTAAGTATGTGTATTTTTAAGGAATTTTCAAAAATATACTAAGGTAGAAAAGACATTGAATTTTTTTGTTTGACTGAAAAATGTAATTTTTGAATATATTTGTTCATATTGAGGACGGTTTTTCTAGGGTGAGTTTGGATCTATAAGTAAAATACGTGTAAAATACCAGTAATTTTTGGATATGTATCATGTAATAGAGAATGTATTGTTTGGGTCTCTGGGTCGGGTTTGGGCCAGTTCTTTTCGGATCTAAGATATCTGGATCTAAGAACCGGCCAAACCCGACCTAAAGACATGAACAAAAACACATTCTCTTCCACATGATACATATCCAAAAATTACCAGTATTTTCCACGAACTAAAATATAAAGAAGCCAAAAAAACACATTGTTCATATTAATACTCACGTATTTTAATATATTTTGAACAATGTGGAAATTACCAGTAATTTTTGGATCTGTATCATGTGGAAGAGAATGTGTTTTTGTTCAGTTCTTTGAGTCGAGTTTGGGCCGGTTCTTAGATCCGGATATCTTAGATCCGAAAAGAACCAGCCCAAACCCGACCCAAACAAAAACACATTCTCTATTACATGATACATATCCAAAAATTACTGGTATTTTACACGTATTTTAAATATAGATCCAAACTGTCCCTAGAAAAATCGGCCTCAATATGAACAAAATATATTCAAAAATTACATTTTTCAGTTAAACAAAAAAATCAATGTCTTTGCCACCTTAGTATATTTTTGAAAATTCCTTAAAAATACACATACTAAATTTTCTTTGCTGAAAAAATACACGAACTTTTTTGGTTTCCCGAAAAATACACAGACTAATTTTGGTTGTCCACAAAATACATGAACTTTTGAATCAGAGTTAACGTCGTGTAACGGCATCTAACGGCGTCTAAATGTTCTGTTAATCAGAGTTAACGCCGTTAAAATCGAGGTGTGAAACCTTCAAAATTCAAAAGTTCATGTATTTTATAGACAACCAAAATTACTCTGTGTATTTTTCGGGAAGTCTAAAAAGTTGATGTATTTTGTTAGCAAAAGAAACTCAGTTGATGTATTTTTAAGGAATTTTCCCAAGCTAAAAATGAGAAAGACAACTCTGGAGGAGTCTCAAGAAGTCAAAGGAAAAACAATATAAAACTATGGCGATTCGGGCATGGCAGTCATTTAAAAATAATTGCGAAATGTCGACGAAGATGTACACTTGCTTCAACTCTCAACCCTTCCTCTCATACACACCATTTCCCCCAACACTCCCTCTCTCTTCAACCAAATGCAACCATGGATTACCCAACCAGTTACAAACTCCCTCCCGTATTCATCAACTCCCACGTAGGCGACTTTCTCCGCGGCGGATTCGTCCACCAAATCCAAGAGGCCTTGAACAGAATCGAAGTCAACGCCTACGCTGATGAGGAGCCGACTGGTGAAGAATCAGAAGATCTCACACAAGAGAGGATCGAGAAGTCGAGGATCGCGATCGTAGTGTTCTCGAGTAGGTACACAGAATCGAGATGGTGCTTAGAGGAGCTTGTGAAGATCAAGGAACGGATGGAACAAGGCAAGCTCACGGTGATTCCGATCTTTTACAAGCTCGAAGGAGGCTCAGGTCTTAACTTGGAGAATCCAGGTATGCGTGATTTTGATCCTGAGAAGGTCAAGATCTGGAACGAAGCTTTGGATTCTGTTTCGTGCACGATGGGATATCACTTGTATAAGAGCAGGTGAGGCTTCTATTTTTTAACTGCTTAAACTTTGTAATTAGTGGAATACTCAATTTTAGAAATATCTTAGGAGGTAAGAGCAAGCTATTTCATTGAGTCTATGTCCACCATTAGTTACATGGTCAAAGGGTTCCTCACTGTTTTTCGTTACTCTTCTTTGGCAGTGATGAGTCCAGGTTTATCACTAACATTGTCAAGGAGGTCAAGAGACTATTGATCCAGATTCCAGTAGAAGAGTGCGTTAACGAGTCACATGATTCACTGAGTGAGCAGCAGAAAGACGCCTCTGTGGATGGTGAGAGTGTCTTAGGTGAAGCAGAACTGAGTGGAGAATCAATAAAAGATGAAGCAAACGAGAGAGTTGACTCAGTCAATGAAGAAGTTAGCACAAGCTCTACCTTAGTGAGCTCATACAAACCTCCCCCTGACCATAAAGTGTTCATTAATTTCCTGGGAACTGACCTGCACGACGGTTTTGTCGGCCACATCGTGGAAGCACTGGAAAAGGTTGGATTCAACGTCTATGTAGATGAAGAGGAGCCGCAACCTGGTGATCTTACAGAGCTTCTGTTCAAGAGGATCGAGGAGTCGCGGGTTGCAGTCGTAATCTTCTCAAGCAGGTACACTGAATCAACGTGGTGTTTAGATAAGCTGGTGAAGATCAAAGAATGCATGGATGAAGGGAAGCTCCTTATAATTCCAATCTTCTACAAGGTGAAGCAATTGCAGGTTAAGCAACTTGAGGGAAATTTTGGTGTAAGGCTTTGGAATTTGTGGAGGATTCATCGAGGGCACCAAATCATCAAGTGTAAGGAAGCTTTGGAGTATGTTGGAGGCATGAGGGGTTTCCCATTTGAGGAGCTTCGGTAGTTAAAACTTTATAATTTTTAATATTGGCTTAACTTCATTGACGCTGACATTTCTTATATGCTTTGACCAGTGGTCTCATTTGTTGTTTTCTCTCGTTTGCAGTCTTGAGAGCGAGCTCATAACTTCAATCGTTCAGGAGGTCATTGATCACATGATCAAGATTTCGGCACGGAAAAATCCATCTTTGTTTCATTCTCCACAGAGGGGGGAAAGTACTCAGTTGCCCACAGGAGAAGATGAAAACCATGATACTTATCTCAATGAGCATCCCTTCTTTGGAATCGACCTTCGAATGCAGCAACTGGAGCAAAAGTTAGAGTTTGATAACAACGAAACTCGAATTATTGGAGTTGTTGGGATGCCCGGTGTTGGTAAAACCACTCTCGCAATGATGTTGCACGAAAAATGGAATCGAAACTTTGTACGGTGCATGCCTCTTATGGGTATCCGTAAGATGTTAAACGACCATGAGCCAGCGTGGCTGCGGAAGACGCTCCTGGAAGTCCTACTCGAGGGGAATTTTCCTGTGACAAATAACGAGACAACACATGAATCTGTGAAGGATAAACTGCTCCAGGCTAAAGTCTTTGTTATTCTTGATGACGTGAGTGAGAAGAAGCAGCTGGATATTCTCCTTGGAAATCTAGACTGGATCAAGAAGGGGAGCAAGATTGTTATCACAACGTGTGACAAGTCTTTGCTCGAGGGATTCGCTAATGATACTTATGTGGTCCCGCTATTGAACGATAAAGAGGCCTTTCAACTCTTTTGTTATCATGCCTTTGATGATAAAATCAATAGTCCCAGCGGGACATTCCTGACTCTCTCAAGAGTATATGTGGATTACGCCCGAGGGCACCCGCTGGCTCTCATTTTACTGGCCATTGAACTTCGTGGAAAGGAGGAGGCTTACTGGAAACATAGACTGGAAAAAGTAACACATAGTTACGATACAAGTATCTGGAGATTCTCTACTGATCAACTTAATGAGCAGCAGAAAGATGTGTTCGACATTATCTATTTTTTCATATCAGGGGATGAGTATTTTATTAGGTGCCTTCTGGGTTCAGAAGATTCTGATACTACTGAGCCCGTGAGTGTATTAAAAGACCTCGCTGACAAGTTCCTGATCACAATCTCTGGTGGCCGAGTCGAGATGAATGACTTACTGTACAGGTTTGGCAAGGGTCTTGGTTCTCCTTGGCGGCGAAGGCTGTGGAATTACAACGATATCTACAGCCCGAAAGAAATTAATACAGTGGTAAGTATCTTTCTGAAAAATACTTGCAACATTTCTTGGCTGTTCTAGAATTTTGTTAGTACATCAAATGAAATAGAAAATGTCTCAGCCCTGAAACACAGAAATCAGCATGTGTTAGGAACTTAGGATAGATCACGAATGGGATATTTTGAAAGTTTTGCAAACCTTAGACTAGCGTAGCGGATTACAAAGAGACAACAAGGTCAACTTCCTCTGAAATCTAAACCCTGCAAAACGCATCTTATTCTTATTTTTGGTTTACGAGCTCTTCCGCTTGAGCGATTTTAGTACTCAGGAGTGGTACCATGAATATTGTTTTTTTTAGTGTTAGCGTAACCGTTGAAACGCATGTTTTAGATATACTAATTCAAAAACTTTCTTTTGATCTTAATTAAACCTTGTATTTTCTAAAGGTGTCGGGATATTATCTTACAAATCATGGAAACTGTCTTTCAGTTTACTGTATAAAAACTTGAATATGGTTTGCTAACATGTTATCTTATAACTTGGTACCAGGAAGCTAATAATGTGAGAGGTGTTTTGTTAGACATGTCCAAAGTAACAGGGAAGATTGACTTGGAAAGTACGGCCTTCACCAATATGGACAATCTTCGATACTTGAAGGTATTTGATTCTAATTGTCCTCGGCAATGTAAAACTAAATGCAAACTACACGTCCCAAATGGGTTCAAATTTCCCTTGAAAGGGGTTCGATATTTTCATTGGGTGAAATTCCCGTTGGAGGAACTTCCCCCAGATTTCAGTCCAGGAACTCTTGTTGATCTTAGGCTGCCGTACAGCAACATCGAACATGTTTGGAAAGATGTTAAGGTGTGTTTTCATGTGCCATCTTTTTCTGTTACTTTTTCATTTGATGCGTTAAAATCTGAATAGTTTTATGATCTTTGGTTTAATTATGACGGTTGTTGCAGGCCACACCACGATTGAAATGGGTAGATCTACGCCACTCTAGTAAGTTGCTTGATTTGTCAGCATTGTCAAAAGCTGAGAACCTTCAAAGATTAATTTTGGAAGGCTGCACGAATTTAAAGGAGTTACCTAGGAAGATTCAAAAGATGAAGTCTCTTGTTTTCCTGAACCTGAGAGGGTGCATACGTCTTTCATCTCTTCCCTTGATGAATTTAATTTCTCTGAAAACTCTCATCCTTAGTGACTGCACAAACCTCGAGGAATTTCAGCCTATCTCTGAAAGTCTAGAAGTTCTACATTTGGATGGCACTGCAATCAAGGGACTTCCTCCAGCCATCAAGAACCTTCAGAGACTTGTCTTATTGAATTTGAAGAACTGCAAAATGTTGGAGTGTCTTCCCAACTGTCTCGGAGAGCTGAAAGCTCTTGAAGAGTTAATACTTTCTGGTTGCTCAAGGCTCGAGAATCTTTCAAATGTAAAGGAAAGCATGAAGCATCTATTAAGTTTACTTATTGACAGTATAGGAGCAAAAGAGATGCCAAACATATGCCAAGCGTCTGCAGATATGGTCTTACATTCTTTTGGCCCGAGCAGCTGGCCATGTGTTGTTAGTGGAGTATCCTTTCTGCAACGTTTATGTTTAAGCGGAAATGATTTTGTCAGCCTGCAAAGTTACATTGGGAAACTTTATGATCTGAAATGGCTTGACGTGAAGGACTGCAAGAAGTTGCGATCTCTTCCAATGCTTCCACCAAAACTTCAGTACTTTGATGCTCATGGCTGTGATTCACTAGAAAGTGTGGCAACTCCTCTGGTCCTTCCGGTTCTGACAGAGCAGACCAGTGTCAGATTCAATTTTTCCAACTGCAACAAGTTGGATCAAGATGCAAAGGATAGTATCATATCATATATTCAGTGGAAAAGCCAGTTTCTGTTGGATAGTACACTCTTTCGATACAATGGGGTATGCCTAATCCTCTGCCCATTTCCTGTCTTATTGACAACATATGTCGGGTATCTGATCTTGTTTTCATATATCTTTTGACAGGGTTTTGTTTTTGAAGCTTTAACTGGAACTTGCTTTCCAGGATGGGAAGTACCCGCATGGTTCAGTCATCAATCATCTGGGCCGTTGTTAGAGATAAAGCTTCGTCCACACTTGTGTGATAACCGATTTACTGGGATAGCACTGTGCGCAGTTATCCTGTTTCCAGGCCACCTTGGCCGGAGCAACCGTCTCGTAGTGACATGTAATTGTGTGTTCAAGTATGAAGATGGGTCTTGTATCCGCTTTAGTTGCACTGTTGGCAGCTGGAACGAGCCAAGTAACACAGTGCTGAAGCTCGAGTCGTCTCATGTATTTATTGGCTATACCACTATGTTGGATAACAAAAAACATGGTGGGAAGGATAATGAAGAAGGCTGTACTCTTACTGATGCTTCCCTTGAGTTTCAAGTAACAGATGGTACTGAGGATGTGGTTGGTTGCAGGGTGCTGAATTGTGGCTTTAGCTTGGTATATGCATCCGATGAAAGGGAAAATACATGTTCGGATGCAAAGAGGATTGAGAAAATCCTTGGTGAAACCAAAACACTCGAAAAATCCCCAAGCCATGATGATATCCAGAATGAGTCTTCCTGTTTAACTTTGGGAACGGAGGAAAACTTCTTAACTGAAGTAGAATCTGGTGCTAACCTAAGTTTACGGGAAAGTTTGGAAAACAAGAGAGCTGACACTTTAAGTGTAGAAAGTGGAGGAGAAATTACACTGAGTTTTGATCATGAAAACACGTCTTCAGGAAATTTAGAGAAGCCTGAAATGAGTTATTTTTGGAGTTAAACGACGACTTAAGCAAATGGAAAAGGTGTTGTATTCGACGTGGGGAGAAACTCGCATTGTTGGAGTTGTTGGGATGCGTGGTATTGGTAAAACAACTCTTGCAAAAATATTGTTTGTCAGGCGTGGGTCTAAGTTTCCAAGCCACTCGTTTTTAACAATGTCGAAGGATTGCAGACCAGAGAAGTTGAGGAAGTTGAGGAGGATGTTCCTGAAAGACTTACTCAAACACACTAATCAAGACATAAGCGATGAGACAACACATGAATATGTGAAATCTGAACTTCTTCAGACCAAGGTTTTCGCTGTCCTTGATGGCGTGAGTGACAAGAATCAGTTACAGTTTCTACTCGGTAATCTTGACTGGATTAAAAAGGGAAGCAAGATTGTTATTACAACGTGTGACAAGTCATTGCTCGAGGGACTTTCTCATGATATTTATGTAGTCCCACAACTGAACAACAGGGAGGCCTTACAACTCTTTAGTTATCATGCCTTTAATCATCAAATCTGTAGTCCCACTGGGACCTTTGTGTCGCTGTCTAGGATGCTCGTGGATAATGCTGGAGGTAATCCCCTATATCTCACGTTACTAGGCAGCATCCTCTGTGGGAAAGACGAGGCTTACTGGGAAGAAGAACTGCAAAGAGCGAGACAAAGTTTCAATACGAAGATGAGAGAAATTTGGACATTCTATTTTGACCAACTTAGTGAGCGGCAGAAAGATGCATTCCTCGACATAGTGTACTTTTTTAAATCAGAGGACGAGTACTTTATTAGAAGTCTGATGGATTCAGGAAATTCTGAAACTGTGAGTGAAGTTAAAGATCTCGCTGACAAGCTGCTTATTACAACTTCTGGTGGGAAAATAGAGGTACATGACCAAATGTATACATTGGGCGAGAAACTTGGTTCTCCTGGGTGGTATAGGCTTACGAACTACAAAAATATCATCGAATATCTGACAAAAGAGAAACACCAGGTACATACTCTTTTCTTTAAGGAGTTCAATCATACGTGCAACAGTTTTGAACTGTTCGAAAACAAATTTCCAGATTATTCTTTGATAGAAACTAAGGATAAAATATGTTAACATGAAACAATATTAGTAGATTGAATAATTTGTATTAACCCAGCAACAAGGACAAAGCAAAACAAGTGAGAGTAGAGAATTACAACTCTTTCAGTCAAATAATATCGACACCAAGCTCGAGACTTCTTTACATTTCTAACTTGTTGTCTTTTCACTTGGTACCAGGAAACTAATAATGTGAGAGGTATTTTCTTAGACATGTCCGAAGTAGAGAAAGATATTGTCTTGGACAGTATGACCTTCACTAATTTGCGGAATCTTCGATACCTCAAGATATATGAGTCTTGTTGTCCCAGGCAGTGTAAATCTAACTGCAAATTACACTTCCCAGATGGGTTTGAACTCCCCTTGGAAGAGGTTCGATATCTCCATTGGGTGAAATTCCCGTTAGAAGAACTTCCACCAGATTTCAAACCTGAAAATCTTGTGGACCTTAGGCTGCCTTACAGCAAAATTGAACGTGTCTGGGAAGGTGTTAAGGTGTGTTTTCATGTGCTACGTTTTTGCTGTTATGTTTTCGTTTGAATAGTTTTTTTTTTCTGATGGTCGGTTGAATTATGACTTATCACAGGACACCCCACAATTGAAATGGGTAGATCTACGCTACTCCAGTAAGTTGCGAAACTTGTCAGCATTGTCAAAGGCTGAAAATCTTCAAAGACTAAATTTGGAAGGCTGCACGGGTTTGGATGAGTTGCCTACGGAGATTCAAAATATGAAGTCTCTGGTTTTCCTGAACCTGCGAGGATGCATACGTCTTTGGTCCCTCCCAAAGATAAATTTAATTTCTCTGAAAACTCTCATCCTTAGCGGTTGCACAAACCTGGAGGAGTTTCAGCTAATCTCTGAAAGTGTAGAATTTCTCCATCTGGATGGCACAGCAATCAAAGGACTTCCTCTTGCCATCCAGAAGCTCCAAAGGCTTGTCTTATTGAATTTAGAAAATTGCAAAAGGTTGGAGCGTCTTCCCAACTGTCTTGGAGAACTGAAAGCTCTCGAAGAATTGATAGTTTCTGGTTGTTCAAGCCTTCAGAATCTTTCAGAGGTAAAGGAGACCATGAAACATCTCCAGAGTTTACTTATTGAAAGGATAGGAGCAAAGGAGATGCCAAACATATGCGAAGGCCAAGCTTCTGCAGATGTTGTCCTACAACCTTTTGGCCCGAGCAGATGGCCACGTGGTGTTAATGGAGCTTCCTCTCTGCGACGTCTATCTTTAAGTGGAAATGATTTTGTCAGCCTCCAAACTGACATTGGGAAACTTTACAATCTAAATTGGCTTGACGTGAAGGATTGCAAGATGCTGAGATCAATCCCTATGCTTCCACCAAGACTTCAGTACTTTGACGCTCAGGGCTGTGATTCACTGGAAAGAGTCGCAAATCCTTTGGCCATTCAAGTGTTCACACATCACATCCATGCGACCTTCAATTTTTCTAACTGCAACAAATTGGATCAAGATGCAAAAGATAGTATCGTATCCTATACCCGGTGGAAAAGCCAGTTAGTGCTCAACGCACTGCATCGATACACTGGGGTCTTTCTATTTCTCTCTATCAGTTTCTAGTATTCCTGGTAGCATATGTCGGTATCTTATCTTGTCTTTATATTCCTTTTTTTCAGGCTTCGATTTTGGAAGCTTTGACTGGAACCTGTTATCCTGGATGGGAAGTACCCACATGGTTCAGTCACCAAGCCTCTGGACCGGTGTTAGAGCCAAATCTGCCGCCACACTGGAGTCGCAACAGGTTTACAGGAATTGCTCTATGTGCTGTTATCCGATTTTCGGACTACCATGAGCAGAGGAGCCGCCTCTTAGTGAAATGTAAATGCCAGTTTAATAATGGAGACGGGTCTCGTTTTGTCTTCACTGTCGGCGGTTGGAGTGATCCAGGTAAAACAGCATGGGATACTGTACCGTCTCACGTCTTTATTGGATATGCCAGTATGTTGGATGTCAGGAAACCTAGTGAAGAAGAAGATAAAGAGGGATGTAGTCATACAAAGGCTTCTTTTGAATTTGAAGTGACTGATGGTACAAAAGTGTTAAATAGCTGCGAGGTGTTGAAATGTGGCTTTAATTTGGTATATGCATCCGATGAATTGCGGGTTAAATCTGGTCTATGCGGCGAAGCCAATCAATACAGAGCTTATTCAAGAAAAGGTGGTTGGATCTAAGATTTCTTTGCTATCACCCTGTGTGTTCGTCTTTTGCTGCCTAGTTTTGCTTGAAGCTTTTAGTTTTCTGATTTGTTTTTTTTTATTTGCTTGCTTGTCTTCCTTTCTTAGTGGAAATCTCTAATGCGAAGAGTGAAACCGAAACTCTGGAAAGTCGGCCGGATGGTAGGCATGAAATAGTTGAATTGCCAAATAAAGTGACAGCCATGACAAAGACAGCAAGCATACCCTCGGAAATTTACGGGTATTGATTCCTTGATAACCATTATTGATGATTATTCGGGTCTAATTGGATCCGTCTTTAACCAAACATTTGTTTTTTCAAAAAGGCTTTCTTTTACATTTGTTTCTTTCACGTTTGTATGTGGCAAGGTCAGTATGTTTTGTTCAGATGTTCATCTGTTTCCCTCAATGAATTTTGCAGCATAGTTGCTTCTGCGGCAGTTTCGAGAGAGCTGACCGTAATAGCTGGAGGAAAGCTCAAGTCCCTAGGAAGAGGAGTTATGGCAGTTGGACGTGTCTTCTTTCTTATTTTGTTTGCAGCTTTTCTCTTTAGTCTCTTCATAGCTCCTCTAATCTTCACTGATGCAAAATCACCTGCCTCCTGGTAAGTTCTCTGTAGGTTTTGTTTGCTGGGTGTCATCGCATGTGCTTGAAAATGAAACTGCATTTGAAATGTATTGTACTTTTCTGAGAAGACGTTTACTTCCACATGCAAGTCTTTGCTAATTTATTTTGTATGAACTAGGTCTGGACTTTTTAACTGGAACCAAACCTAAATAACGTTTACCGAACTAAACTGAATATATTCCAGATTATTTTTATATTTTTATATCCTAAATACAACACCTATGTTTTAATTCCCAGAATATACCGGCAGTCGAACCAGGTTAAACTGTAATTCGAAAGCTTAAAATTATTTTGGGCGACAAGGCGATTTTGGAGGTTGCAAGTTGCAACAAAACTCATTTTAATTCAACCTCTAACATTTTCACGGAATATGTGTGAATTCAATAAGGTTAATTCGTGTTGACCTAATTCCACTAGGTTTAATTGTAACGGATCGAGTTATCTTCGACTCATTTTTTCAAGTTGGACCGGATTCAGTATTTGATAGGCCCTGATGAGAGATGTAATCCCTCTCCAACATCAAGTATGGACGTAAATGAAATAACATACGGAAATCTGGCTACTGCCTTCATTCATCAAAGTTCTAAAAGTCAAACAAACAATTTGAAATTATAAATTAATTGTTAGTGTAACACTTCAAACTATTATCATACACATAATATTCTCATAAAAAAAAATTTCGAAATCAGTAATCTCTTAAAGTCTATCCATCACATTTGAGTAATAGCTGTAAAATATTTTTATACCCGCGCGCCATTAGCGTGGACGAGTAAGCTAGTTTTTATATATAATTACAATCTATATTATAATGATTCAGTTTTAAGGCTCCTTAAGGTGTCCACATAGGCAGATTGTGGGTCCCACATTTTTATATTAAAATAGATAGTTTTTTTTTAAAATGGCTACAAACAAAGAATATCAGTTTAGCCAAATGGTCTAAGACCCCATGTTTGGTCTCCAAGGACATGGGTTCAATTCCCATTGCTCCCATGCATAAACCAATTAATGTCATCATCATAAAAATATTTTTTAAACACACATAGTCTTGGTAAGATGGTCACAAACAATGAAATACACTTTAGCCAAGTGGTTTAAGGTGTCTAATTAAGTATGCAAGATTTCTTATGTTTTTTTTTTGGGCTTATTGTTTTAAAGATCAAAATAGTTGTATAAACCCTAAACCTTAATAAGTTCAAACCCAAAATAGTTAAAAATGAATCCAAAACGAATAATAAAACAAAAAAAACAAAAAAAAAACAAGTCTCACGTGGTTGCCTACGCGGTTAAAACTATCCTATTATAATATAGCTCAACCCAAAAATAATAAAAAATAAATCCAAAAACGAACAGACAAAAAAAACAAAAAAAAAAGTGAATTCCACACGGGTGCATACGTGGACGGCTTAATGAGGGTTGAATAATATAGATTAAGAGCTCAGAAAGTTAAATCATTGCACATATTTCCTAATATATATTTTCAAAAAATTTGTATGTGAGATAAAATAAAATAAAATAAAAAAAATTAATTATTTTCGTTATTATTAAATGAATATATAATTTCTCTTACAATTTAATAACTACTATAATTTCCTTGAAAACATTCCTCACCACCGATTCCAGACTCCGGCGAATGGATTCCCACAGTCGATGATGCCGTAGATAAAAATGCATATCTAATGAAACTTAAACAACGAATATTAACTTAATTAAGGTTATTTTCAAATTGATAAATCGTTTAATACAAATATAAATACTATAAATATAGAATTATATCAAGTTTTGATCTACGATATAATAACTATTTACAGCAAAAAAAAACACATCTACTTTTACACACTAAAAACTATATTATAGCCTAACTATTCCTATAAACCTTACTTCGCATATAAATAACATTTAACACATTCCTAATATTTTTCAAAAAAAATGTATGTGAAATAAAATAAAATAAACAACAAAATTTAAGTAAGTTATTTATTAAATGAATATGTAATTTCTCTTACATTTTAATAACTACTATAATTTCATTGAAAACATTTCTCACCACCGACTCCAGACTTCGGCGAATGAATTCCCACAGTCGATGACTCCGTAGATAAAAATGCCACATCATTTATG